AAAATAGGAAATTCTGATTAGATATGTGGAAAAAATTATTGGTCAAACACTGGAACAGACTGTCCAGAGAGACTGTGAAATTTCACTCCTTGAAGTTACCACTGCATAAGTTCATGAACTACCTGACTTAACTACAAAGTTAGCTTTGAGTTGCTTTGAGTAGAGGGTTGACCTAGATGAGCTCCAGAGGTCCCTTACAAATTAAATTATTCTACAGCGCAGTGATTTCATAAGGCAGTATTATCTCCTCATTTGCTGGGTAACTGCTATGCCCCTAATTCCTTGTCACATTCTCTCATGTCACCTAGTCATTCATCTCTCATTTTGGTATCCTGTTCCTTCTAACTGTAATCACATGCAACACACTAATCATCACTTTCCATAATCCACTTTCCACAAAGCCAGCTCTTTTCTTTGCTATTTGTTCTGACACCTTAGCCCATCACTTGTCCAATAGGCACCGTTTGGGTTTATTTCATGTATAATAACAAATACCCTTGCTAAAAGCTTCTAGAAAACAAGAGCCTGTTTCTTGAAAGGCCTCTTTAAGACACAGTCCTAATGCCAATACATGAACTAATAAGAATCATATATATTGTGCAGATATTTGTGTATATACAAGAATTAAAAAGCAAATTAAATGTCTTTTTTTCCTATTATTTTATTTTGATATCAGTGCATGTCACATTAGACACATTTCTGAGCTCTTGTTTTTGATGAGTTTTATATTTTTAAAAAAGGACCTGCTTGGGTGGCAGGCAGTTAATACGAATCATTTTAAGTTATGTACTCAGATCCCACATAAAAATATGAAGCTCTCTGACTAAAGAAATAGAACTACTTAAGGGGGAGTTAACAGGCAAATCATTGTTTTGATCACTCACTGTCCTTAGAAGCTGTGTAGCCTAGATTTGTAGTAAAACAAATCATTTTTGACTAATAATCAAAAATCATTTTCCATGAAAAGCACCAGTGATGGATTTGCGTAAAACATGGAAATATTACATAGTGACTTTTACTACATTTTTACACCACACAGTGTTACATCATTGGAAGCTACCCTCCGACTATGGAGCCTGCAGGTGACACGTGCATTGAGTACATTTGTGTACAGACATGATCCAGAAGTTTCTCAGAAGTTCCTATGAATGTTTTCACTGCTTCTTTCATATCACAGTGTACTTACACAGAATGAGCCCATACCTTCTGACAAGGCATGTTTTCTACCTGGTTAGAAATCTTTTTAAAATTATGAAACGTAAGTGGAAAGAATTGTAATCTGTTATTCACAGGCCAACATGAGAAGTTTCCACTGGCCAGAAAGTGGTAAGATGGTGGGATGCATCTTTTACTCCCCTTTCCCCATGTGATAATTCAAGGTTACTGATCATCAGCATACTCAGATGCAAATTTCTATTAAACCCAAATAGTAAAACCAAGTCAAACAACAGAAATGAAAGATCCTATTCTCCACAGGGAATGGTTAGCATTGAAGAAAGGGTTCTAGTACCACAAAGGAGGCCACAGATGCATTTGATTGAATGACCTTGGTGCTCAAATCTGCTCACTTACAGCTGAATTCCACTGAAGAAGGAGCCAAAGAGTCCGATCATGCCCAGGAATTCCACTCGACTCAGATTTCGGACGATATACTCCTCACAAACATTCGAGATGCCATACAGTGTTGCTCCACCCAGCACTAAGAGATCCCCTATCAGTTTATTTTCACCTAGGAATAAACAGGGTAAAAATTAGCAGGTCTCAAAACAATAATCTTTTCTCTACAGCTGCTGCAAGTTCCTCACAGTTCTGAATCTTGAGTTACTAAAGTAGCCCATATCCATGTTAATATAGTGCAAATGTTCTGTCATTTTACCAGTTTTCACTCAATAATGCAAGCAAACATAGCAGAGGCAAAGACAGAGCAATCTCTTTCATGTCAATAAGAAACTCCAAAAGCTAAGATAAATTTGTGAAAAATACAGAAATCAAGCAGCAGCTTTCAATGATTAATCTTTTTTATTTTTATTATTATTTTTAAATTATTTAATTTTTTGTTATTATCACTCTTTTTTTTCAGATCAAATGGAAGTCAGCTACATAAACAGTTTGCATCTGATGTTGGAATTGAAGCAGTCCAAAACAGGACTAGCATCTAGATGGAAAATCAGCTGAGAAATTCTATATATACCTGTGATATGAGTGAAGAAATCATTGCAAACCCTATACTGTAGGCTATGCAAGTTAAAGAACCTCATTGTAACAAGGTCATCTGACAAGAAATAGAGGAAGAAGAATGGGGTGCAGGTAGGGTGATGATAATGACAGTGATTTTTAAGAGGCTTAATTAGCACAGCAATACCTAATGCATGAAATAGGCAGAACAGAATCAATCTCAGGTATCTCCAGGTATATATCATTATTAAAACACCAGATGATTAAAGAATGTTTGACACCTTTGTTAAAGTCTTGGAGGCTTTTATTATTATCTGGGATAAGAGTAGGGGTGGAAGCCTGCAGAGATTTATCAAGTTCAAGCTTGAAAGCTGGGGCCTTGGTTCTGCCAACTGATGCATGTGATTCCCTCTGCATGTATGACCCTCTAAACGATTTCAACAGAAGAACAGCTTTGCAGAACTGCCAAATATTGCTACAGGACCTATTCCACAGGCCTGGCTATAATGGAATCTCCTTTGAAAACATTTGGTAAAAAAAGCTGAATTGTTAGATTTTGCATTTTTGAAAGATACATGTTTTCTTTTGAAATATGTTTTGATATAGTTATTAATGTGCATAATACACATTGTAGAATATAAAAATGATCAAAAGTGAAGCAAAACATTCTGATTTTTTCAAAGTGTTCTTTCTTCATAATTTTCTGTCATTATTTCAAGCCTTCTATTCTCATTTCAACTTATGGTTTTGAAATTACTAGCGAGAAGGAATTTATAATTACAAAAACGGTCACAGCTGGTCAACCCAAAAGTTCATTTATCCCAATATCTCATCTCCAATATTGCCTATAAGCACTGTGAGATTTTAATTTGTTTAGGGACAAATAATAAAAGGGCAAATGTTTAGAATACTCCCACCAATGCTCTCCTAGTGTTCAAAATTGTTCAGCTCAAAGGAGATGTGGCTTCTGTGTCAACAACACAGTAAAAGTTACTAGATTTCTCTTTAATGTACTCAATCAGTCGCCCACTGAATTTCTGGTTTGCGTGTACCTTGTTGGAGAGCATGTTTACAGTTGAGCATTTATCTTTTTAAATTTTGATGATACGTATGTTCCTTTTACCCTTTTTTTATAATCTGCCATGGAAGATGCCCTTAATTTAAAATAAGCATCTGCACTTTCAAGACCTATTCATATCCCTGATGCTTTTGATGTTCCACGGGGGCTCTAATCATCCCTCACTGAGCTCATGCATTTGGTATTTATGACAGCTACTCACTGGCACTCACCAGCACTTTGGGGAAGCACTTCTGCAAAAGCTTTTGACCTTCGCGTTTGGCTGTGCTGAACTGTGGAGACAAAAATACCATCCTTTGCCTGTGCAAGGCAGAAGGCTTGGAGGCCATGGCTCTCCCAGCGTGCAATCACATGCTATGAGTGTGAGCCTCAAACTTAACAGCTTTCAGAGAATGACAATATAAAAACTGGTCACAGCAACAGTCCACCTCTGACACTGGGCAGTTCAGGATGGTTGAAAAAAAAACATAAGCGCTGGGTGGGATTTCTATCGTCCAATTCTCAGCAGATGAGAGATGTTTTCATTCATCTTATTTAGGGTCTTTTCATTCTGAAGTCTTTCTATGCCCCTGAAGACCTTTGTTGCCTTCTTTGCTTTGCTTCTATAGACTTATTTTGGGGGCATTTCTTTTTGAATGGAGGTTACCAGAGTAGCACATGGTATTCAAGAGTGACACGCACCAAAGTTCTTAATCATGGCTATGTTTTCGGTTTCTTTCCTAGTAATGCCTGTCTTCCTGGCTTTCAAATGTCTTGTCTTTGTTTATTCACTATCCCTTTGGAATTTGCCCCAACACTAGTATATCCTAATAAAGATATTTTCATGGATCTAAAATCCTGGTGCATCTACTGGTTTCATTGTTAACGAAGCATGTACCAATTGAATAGAGGAGTTCTAAAGACATGTCTAGTTCTAAGACATCTGGGATAACATGGTTGTACTTGAACTATCTGAAGATATAGGCCATTCTTCTGAAGAAACACAACTTTGCCAAACAAGCTTTGCATTCATCATTGTTAGCATAGTTACTGTTTCGTGAAAACAAAAACCATACAGTCCAGAGAGGACTAATGATAGCATAGAAGTGTACCAAAAATAATTTTAAATTATATTCTGACATGATTGCCTTTGACACGCTTATCAGGCCATTTGGTCACCTTTTTACCTGAACCCTCAGTACCTCAAAGGTGGTTCTCTTCACTTTCAGTTATAGTTGTAGATGTTCACAATCTCCAAAATTTGACTCAAAGCACCCAATCTTAGACTTGATATATTAGTTTACTACATGGATTGAAGTGACTGATTTTCAGAGCTTCTTGTTATCTAAAACTATGAATGTTTTGAAAAGGTCTTGATGACATATTAACAGCCCTGTGTATTATATGAGGGCAGCTACTGAGCTACCTTGGGGTACTCATTGAGAAACGTGTTATTTTAAGGATAACGTGGCTTGTAACCTGATAGTGCACCAATTACATGATCACAGTTTTTTTTTTCTTTTGATAATGTGCTAAATTTGAGTTGGGATACACTAAAAATAGATTATACATTTAGACCATACATTTACTGAAAGTTGAGAGCATGCTTGTAAAATCCATTTTGGAAGTATCATAGTATCTCAGTGATGCACTGTAAACTTGGGGTTTGTAGCTAGATTGCGGTAGGTGGTAAGTGCCTATCAGAGGCTGATGGCACTTCTAACGTAGTAAATAATAATATAAACAAGAGCAAAGAAATGTGATCAGATCATGTAAACAGAGAATTTTACTGAGGACTAACAGAACTCTACTTCCCTTTGGTGCATTACTCTCCTTTTTTTCCTCCTTCATAAAAGATGCTGTGAGTACTATAACTTTAATGAAGAGTTTAATTAAATATTTTCTTTTGTTGTCAATATTTATTTTTGATTTGCAGATTTTAATGTATATTTCAATCACCTTCAGATAAATCAAACCACATATTTTACTCCCTTAAAGAGGGCGTGGTAATTTAGAGATATATTCCTGCACCTTAGTTACACTGGTCTGACACTTCAAGAAGCTGCAGACTCCGTTTGTGAAAGACTCTTGGTTTTATTTCTCCTCCCTGCATACCAATAAGCACCAATACAAGCTTTTATGTGTAGGTCTGGACTAGAAGCCAATAGAGCATGCTCACAAATTTTCCTGAACAAATTCACCTACAGCTGCATCCATCTTTCCTTAAAAATGAAATGGCAACAATATCTAATTACTGCAGGCAGATGGTAATGTGTCAGTCTAGGTCATTCTGTTCCTTATGTGCCTTTCCACTGAGGTCCACTGTCCTGTGTGTTCCCCCTCCCTAGCAGATAGTTATCTAGATTAAAGGGACTCAGGATGTTTCCTCTGGAAGTAAAGGCTGAAATCCCAATGCCGACGATATCAGTCATTCCTAACGCAGCTCTCGCTGGCTGATTTCACAGTACAAGGTATATTCTTCTCTTTATAGCAAGGGCAGAGCTATTTCTGGAGGACAGCAATGAACTGGAAGTCTTGAGGTCAGGGAAAAAACGGGGCAGGGCGACATGCTGGGTATTGTCACAAATGTCCCTGATTTTTTTAGCAGTATCCTGACAAATGATGCTTTATAGCACTTCTATTTGTACTCAGAAGGTTGAGTCAAGAATTTAAAATCCCGGTGTATTATGTTCAGCTCACAATTCAGTGCTTTTAATTAAGAATGAAAACTGTGCCTAATTGACAACCTTTAAAAAGAATTTCCAGCCTTCCCCCATCATTTGGTTTGGCACTAGAAAAATCAATGTGACAGAGGAAGTTAATCGATGAAATCTAACTCAGTCTAGTCTGCATTAATAGCAGACACACATTAGTCATATGCTGCCACACATAAAAAAGAACACTTTACACACAAGAAGATTTTTTTCTGGAATGGTGCAGGAAAAAATAAAACCTTTACTCTGAGATTGTGCATAACACAGTTGATACAATCAGTATGTAGGTTAGGTGTAATTTCTTGTCTAACCAGTAACCCCACTTAACTACAAGAAAGGAGCAAAATTGAAGAGAAGTAAGAGTATGTGTGGATGGGAAGGGTGCTTATGATTCAGAGATGCAGCCAGTTTGGAAGACTTGTGGTCAATAAGCTATGCCAAAACAAAATGGAACTACAAGTATTTGGCTTGTTCCTCTGGCCTGAACAGTGGGTGATATATTTTGCAGAACCAGTGTGTCCACAAGGTCAAATCAGGGATGGGAAATAGGGATGACCATTTGGACCATTTTTGCTTCCTGTCCTTTTTGACAAAGTGACTCTGAATGAGGTAGTGCTTTTGATCCATGAGGACACAAAATTGCTTGGACACCGAGTTCTCTTTCAGAGGAACAGTTGTCCAGAAAATGTCTGAACTCAATCTATCCTTACTCACCTGCTCCTTGCTGTCTCCCGACGAGGACATCTGCTCCTGCCATGCAGCCCATGCCCAGAATGCAGACCACAATCCCAATGAAATGCACTGCCTTGTATCGTACCAGCAAGAAGAACCAGGATAGCAATATCACCACCGGGATAACAAAACAATCTAGGAGCTAAGAAAAAGAAGAAAAAAAAATCAACAAATCAACCTGTTAACAATTTACCCTAAAGCTTTAGGTTGGATTCCACAGAAGGCAGCAGTAACGGCACTTTTTACCAGACAGAAAAGGTACTCAAGTGCTTATGTCATTCATCAGACAGCTTGTAGGACTATTCTGCTCATGACTCTTCCAGTAATCCCGTGGAGCTATTGCTCTACAATCATGTCCAAAAGTATTGCCTTGATCTTTGATTCAGATGCATGTTCCAAATCCATGGGAAGGAAACCTTGGCCAAAAGGGCTACGCTATTCTCCACCTGTTTCGCACCTCAGGTGATTAAGGTTCAAAGACTGAGGGCGCTTTTCCTGCAGTTTGTGCATATGCTTTGAGATAGTCATTTAGGTCCAATTAACAGGAAGGTTCATAAAAATCTGGCCATATAAATCAAAGAGTTTTCACATGCAGAGCACTTACAAAAAATCTGTTCCCAGTGGGGACTGTTAATTCCTTGAAAATATAGTTTCATATGCCTGTGAAGGAAAATTAAATAAGCACTTTGTCTGCAGCACAGAAAGCTCAGTCTTTTTGCCAATGGACCCTAAGTAAACACTTTCTCATGGAAGTGCTATGAGGAACAATTATTAACTAGTCTTTTCAGAGTTACCCAGCAACAAACTGAGAAATCTCTGATTAAAAAACAACGACAACAGCAAAAACAACAAAAAAATCAAATATTTCTCAAAAGTCCTTGAGGTTTTCAAATGAAAGTATGTTTTAGAAACTACTAGTATGAAGTGTTCAGGAAACAGTTTAGGAACAGTTTTTCAGGAAACAAAAGTCCTGAATAAGAACCACATAAAGAAGCTTGAATTTAGGAACTTGATTCCCACTTTGTGAAGGGATAAAAATATTTAAGAGTCTAAATTCTGGAACAAGATCTCTGGAGTGTCTTAATATTCAATGCCGATTGATACAGCAGGATTCAGTGCTGTACATTTGCATTTTCAGTATAATGAAAATGATCGGAACCACTGCTAGTGGAGGAGCCTGTCTCTGCAGTCCTGGGAAATTTTAATACATACAAAATCATAGAATCATAATACATTCCTATAGATATTGGTACCACGATGCAGTTCGCTCTTTTCTCTGTTAGAGTCTGTTTTTATTACTCTCTCTCTCAGTGTGACTAACCATTAAACACAGTAAGTATTATCAAATAATGCTCAGATAATTTTTAACTTATTTGTCCGTCCAGGGCATTATCTGAAGAGAAGAAGAATTCTGAATTATTTTAAGAATTTTGGTGCTTAGAAAATTGTTCTTTACATATAAGATACCTATGTAATAAAGGAATTTGGGATTCCGCAAGAATATAAAAGTCAATATTCATGAATATATATAATTTTCCTAAAATTTCTTGAAAAACACGAGCATTCAGTGCAACTTACATCCATTTCAAAGATTTCCCTCACACTGAGTGGCAACCTCACTTTAAAGAGAAGGGATCACAAGCAGGACCATGTTGCTCTAATGTCGCTCACGCAGCCCCAAACAACAGCAGAACAGATAAGCAAAAAAAAAAAAAAAAAGGAAAGGTTTTTGTTAAAAGCAGTTTCTGCATTTAAAATAGGAACTAATAATCTAAAAGGCCATCCCAGGCCTCTTTACAGTGAAAATGGCCTCCAGCAGTCCTCAAAAGACAGTCCTTTACAGACGGAGCACAGAAAGGAACAACTGCTCGAAGAGCATCAGAGATAATGAGCGCCTTCATTTGTACAGGACATCTGCTTAAACCTCCTGCCTCTGGAAAACCTATAAAGTATACAGAATATAAAAGGTCTAACACTCGGCAACTACTCTTTGTAAAAACATGCTTGTGAAATACATGCCATGTATCCTACAAGTTGTTTGTTAGACCATTTGCAGTCTGTTGGGATGGCGCATT